GTGTGTGTGTGTGTGTTGGGGGGATAATAGTAAAAAATATATAAAAGAAATTGTTTATTACATTATTATAATAGCAAAACCATAAAGTTAGCTGAAATAAGCTATATTTCAAAACAAAAAAGTGACATTTTAGAAGTGTTGTTTACACAGACAGGATGCATATAGAGCAAATAATCAGCCAACATTGACCACTTTAAAAATTCTTCCATGTCTGTGCGTACTTTATTCCTCATTCCCTTATGAGACATTTTATATAATCTAACATAATCTGGGACACCTTTTACCTAGTAACCACACTGTTTATATTTTATTTTATACAGTTTATATATCCATGAGTGTGTTTATTTTGTTTTCCTCCAGAGTGTCTATATTTTTAACTTAATTCTAGTGTCTACCTTTTATTTTCTAATTATTCAGCTGTTGCAGCTGTAATAAATGTAATTTCCCTCTGGGATCAATAAAGTATTTGGATTCTGATAATGTATTTTTTTTCTTTTTTAATGTCCACATTTAACTTAACTGAATAAATCAAAGCTGTTTCACAGCACCTAGTCTTGACAACACTGACCTCACTACGTCTGTAAACATCCTCCTGATGGATCTGGACGAAGATCCGAGAAGGAAGTCATCAAATCTGAGGCATATGTCCAGGATATGTCAGGGAATCATAGGCCAGAGTCAAGCCAGTGAAATCCCACAAATTATCCCTCGTTTTAAGACACGTATATCTGTCTTTTTTATGACATACTAGCAAGCTGACACTTTTAGAGAATGCTATTAAACAAGAAACAAATTATTTCTACAGAGAGTCTGCAGCGTTGACGAAGCAACTTTTGCTAGCTTGTATCTTTCAGTAGAGGTGGAAGTTTGTTCCTTCTTACATTATTTACAGAAAATAAAAATACATAAAACAATTACGTTATCTTAAAACCCGGGTGCTTGTTAAACCACAGAAAGCGATCCCTCCGTTACTAAAATAACACGTTTGCTTACACAAGCTGGTCTGTTTGCGAACATTTTACAGATTCACTCGCAATAAATAAACCTACCTAAATTAAACAGTGGTCTGTTCGTAGATGGCAGGTGTCTTGGATGAATTTGTCTTGATGACTTTCCAGTTCGGTCAACAAGGAGAAAGATGACAATCTACACTTCCATAGCTGGTTTTGCTAACGTTGCAGGCTCTTCTTCTATCAGTTTCTACAGCTGCTGAGAAGTAATCTAAACGAGTTAGCGCCACCTGGTGGTCAACACAGTGTGATACAAAACAAAGAGAAACACAAACTTATGCTGCTAAAAAGCACTGTATGGATATATAATTTTTTCTTCAAAACTATTGAAAATAAAGAAGCTCAAAGTTTTGTTTGTAACTTATGCTGCTAAAAAGCACTGTATGGATATATAATTTTTTCTTCAAAACTATTGAAAATAAAGAAGCTCAAAGTTTTGTTTGTAATATGTATTTGAGGAAATTCCTTTAAAAAAAGGCTCTATGAGTTATTAAATTTAAAAGAAGTTGAAGATAAGCTAAACGCTAAAAGAAGTAGGACACTAGCTAAAAACCAAAAATTGCAAAACACAAGCTAAATATAGCAAAACACTTGTTAAAAGCTAGATGTAGCAAATTGCTATGCAAAGTATGCAGAAGTAGTTAGATTTCAAAAACTTACACAAAATAAACAACAAGATAGCAGGATGAATATTGAATCAGTCATTAATGAATAATTAATATAATCAGTTTATTAGATAATCTGAATATGAAAACAGATTTCACAGATTGATTGAAGTGCCAGCATGTGGAAAAAGGAGGATTTGTTCACATAAAAGTTGCATATACTCCAGTAGTTCATATTAAACATAAACACATATCTGTGCTTTATTATAACTTTTTTTTAAAAACACCTGAGTTCTTCCCTTTAAAAATCACCTGTAGCAACAACTTTTCTCACAGCTTAATTACAAAGATCCTTTGAGTCCGTCTTCATCAACCGGGTGTGGTGATGCGAGTCATGGCCTGCTTCATCACGTCTCGAGCGCGAGCATAGCGCTTCACAATCTGCCGCACGTGCTCCTCTTCCTCACGCTGCAGGATTCGCAGGAAGTTGCTCAACTCAGGAAGGCTAAAGGCATCCCACTGCAAAACAAAACAGTTTGTTTCAGTAAAAGCAGACTATTGTTTTCTGTGTCTAGTGGCAGATTTGTCTACAGTTTAAGTAGAGGCGGAACTTACATTTACATCTCCCGTCTCATTCTCCTTCAAAACCAGACTCAAGATGGTCTCACTGGGGCCGGCACACAGGCGCAGGAACAGAGGGCGCTCATCCTCAGACAGCTTACGCATGCAGACTGAAGAGAAAACAAATCAGAGCTTTAGAACACAACACATTGATCCATTGCGTTGTCATAATGTGAAGAACCCCACCCTGGCTTTGCTTCTCGGTGCGTTCAAACAAGGCAAACTTTCCTGGGTTGTCCACCACCGTGAACTTCCTGAGCAATGCCTCGATGACTTCCCGCACTCGGGTTTCGGAGCTGATGTGCAGGTGCTTCGCCGCGTCTTTGGGGAGGTAAAAAGACGTCCGCCTCTGTACCCGTCTGTTCTGCTGATCCTCCTCTTCTGTCGAGTTCTGACGCTGAGGAGGCGGAGGAGGAGGAGGGAGCGAGATGGGACGAAGGAGCTGAAAGTGGACCTTGATGAAACCAGTGTAGGACCCATTTTTGTTCTGCAAGTTTCCAGAGGAGAAATGAGAGTTAAAGGGTTGCACAGCAGTTTAACAAATAATAATAATAA